AACAGTAGTGAGTTCTCTTGACTGCTGACATATAGGACAATCACTAATAACGCAACAAGGTCCGCTTGGCAGCTATGGAAGCATTTACATCATTTTTCTCTAGTCTCGGCAAGAAGTCACAATTAAAATATTATGGCCTTATTCCAGAAGTCCTTTCGATCCTACCACCTCTAAAGGAAAGTCTAGACTCGGATAGTCTCAGTACAGCACTTGTTTCACTCATGACCCTCGCAGAGGTTGCCCCAAAGATGTTTAGACCATTATTTCACAATCTAGTCACATTCTGTATTCAAACAATTCAGGAGAAAGAATTGAGCGATGTGGTTCGCCAAAATGCCCTCGAGCTCATGGCAACATTTGCCGATTATGCTCCAGCTATGGTGAAGAAAGATTCGAGCTTTGTAACAGATATGATTACTCAATGTCTGAGTCTCATGACTGATATTGGCGAGGATGACGATGATGCAGCCGAATGGAATGCTTCAGATGATGTACGAATATCCCCACTCGCTTTGTCAAATCACTAACTGACTTGAACAGATGGATCCGGAGGAGAGTGACCTGAATCACGTTGCTGGTGAACAATGTATGGATCGATTGGCAAACAAGCTCGGAGGATCAATTATCTTGGCGCCTACCTTCAATTGGCTTCCCAGAATGATGCTTTCCGAAGCATGGAGAGATAGACATGCTGCATTAATGGCCATCTCTGCGATTTCAGAAGGCTGCAGAGATTTGATGGTTGGAGAACTGAACAAAGTTCTAGAGCTTGTTGTTCCTGCTTTGAGCGATCAGCATCCGCGTGTGCGTTGGGCCGGTTGCAATGCTCTGGGACAAATGAGTACAGACTTTGCAGGAACCATGCAGGAGACCTATCACGAAATTGTAGTACGCAGCATTATCCCGGTTCTCAAGAGTCCAGAGCCACGTGTCCAAGCTCACGCAGCAGCTGCTCTCGTCAATTTCTGTGAAGAGGCTGAAAAGACGACCCTTGAGCCATACCTCGATGACTTGTTGAGTAACTTATTCCAACTACTTCAAAGTCCAAAGAGATATGTTCAAGAACAGGCTCTCTCTACAATCGCAACTATTGCCGACTCCGCAGAGGCCGCCTTTACTAAATACTACGATACCTTGATGCCTATCCTCTTCAACGTTTTGAAGGCAGAATCAACCAAGGAGCTTCGTTTGCTACGCGCAAAAGCAATGGAATGCGCTACTCTAATTGCTTTGGCAGTTGGAAGAGAGCGATTAGGCAACGACGCAATAGACTTGGTCAAATTGTTGGCCACTGTTCAGCAAGGCATTGTGGATTCGGATGATCCACAAGCCCAATATCTCATGCACTGCTGGGGACGTATGTGTAGGGTTATGGGAACCGACTTCCTCGCATATCTTGAATATGTCATGCCTCCTCTTTTGGAGTTGGCAAGTGCTAAAGCAGATATTCAACTTCTTGATGATGAAGATGAAGTTGAGGCCGTACAGGCACAAGAGGGCTGGGAGCTTGTTCCACTCAAGGGCAAAGTCATCGGCATCAAAACTAGCACTCTTGATGACAAGCACATGGCAATCGAGCTCTTGGTGGTCTACGCTCAGGTCTTGGAGGCCCATTTTGCTCCCTACGTGCAGGGTGTTATGGCCAACATTGCCTTGCCAGGTCTCGCATTCTTCTTCCACGATCCCGTTCGGGTCGTCTCGGCGAAGTGTGTACCGCAATTGCTCAATTCCTATAAGAAAGCATACGGTCCCGAGTCCTCTCAACTACGGGACCTTTGGGGAGCAACAATCCCTAAGGTTCTCGAGGTTCTGAGTGCCGAACCAGCTATCGATACACTTGCTGAGATGTATCAATGCTTCTACGAGTCGGTGGAAGTGATGGGCAAGAATTGTCTCCCTAGACAACAAATGGATCTATTCATGGATTCTGCTATTTCTGCCCTAGAAGATTACAAAGAACGCGTCAAGGCTAGGGCGGAGGAACGAGCTGATGCCAACCGAGAAGAAGGTGATGAAGATTCCGATGAAACACTTTACGCTATTGAAGACGACCAAACTCTGCTTTCCGACATGAACAAGGCATTCCACTGTATTTTCAAGAACCACGGTCCCGCTTTCTTGGAATCGTGGCAGAAACTCCTCACAACATATTCCGCTTTTCTTTCAAGCGAGGATCCCACACAAAGACAATGGGGATTGTGTATCATTGATGATGTTCTCGAATTCTGTGGTGCAGAGAGCGCTAGATATATGGAACCCCTTATCAAGGGTCCCTTGATTGCTGGATGCCAAGATCCTGCTCCCGCCAATCGTCAAGCCGCTACCTACGGTATTGGTGTCGCGGCCCACAGAGGAGGTGCACCCTGGACCGAGTTTGTAGGCAACACAATTCAGCTCTTGTTTGATGCGACGCAAATTCCCACCGCTAGAGGCGAAGATGATGTTTACGCGACAGAAAATGCATGTGCTGCCATTGCTAAGATATTACATTATAATGCATCTGGTGTTGCGAATCAACAAGCAGTCGTCACAGCATGGATCGATACTTTACCCATTGTCAACGATGAAGAGGCTGCTCCATATGCATACCTTTTCCTTGTCCAGCTCATTGAACAGTAAGTTTATGTATCCAAAGTTTGATTTATACATGACTAACACATCTAGACAAAACCCCGCCGTTACTTCTCAACCAGCCAAGGTCTTTGTTTTCGTTGCTCAAGCTCTTGAAGGCCAGACAATACAAGGCCAGACTGCAAACAGAGTTGTTGAAGCTACCAAAACCCTCCTCGCTGCCGCAAGTTTAAACCCCGCTCAACTTTTGACGCAACTTGCCCCCGATACACAAGCAGCTGTTAACGCATGGTTTGCTTGATCTTTCACTTTGCCTTGGGATTGGTTCGATTTGCATGGGTGGTGGAGAGTATGAGATGAAGTTTTGATGATAGAATGATACCATATGAGCACGTATATTTTCCGGGTTACCTTTGGGATGGTTAGGCTAAGGTGGTGGTTGGAATTTGGCTAGTCATCAATATTACTTGACGAGTTCAATGGGTATATGGAATGACATGGCGATCAACCGGGAGCCACTGCAAGCTACATTTTTTTCTTTCTATTTTTGAGGAGGAAAGTGATAATGGTTTGTTCAGATCACCTCATGTTTTAAATAGCTTAGGAAAGCCTCGGATGCAGATGGACCAAAAATCGGGAAGTGGGAGAGAAAGAAGAGAGAACAGAGGATCTCTATTATGATGGGATTTCGACCCAGCAAGAACAGGGTCAATTCAAAATTACAGATAGGCGAATGAAAAAAAAATATACTTATAAAATCCCTGAGAAAATTCGTGATACTTTTTAAATCAGGGGCCACAATGGTCACCCAAAAAGGGTTGGGGTCCCTACATGATAGTGGCTTGCATATGGTGACGCAATGCCGTGGTGCCCGATACTGGGCTTTCGGTATCTTTGAACTGGGATTATGTGGTGCCGAGAATTTTGGAGGGGGAAGAGGGGGGAGGGAATTGGATGATTTCTTGCATTGGTTTGGCGGGGAGGGAGACTAGGGGGAAGGAGGGGATGCGTGGTGGGTGGTGAGTGGGTGAGTGGGTAGATCGGTGTGCGAGGGATGGAATGTAGAAGAGAGAGATGGAGAGATAGCGGTGGGTGTATTTGGTTATGTAGATGGATTTTAGAGTGACGAAGAGGATAGTGAAGGGATTTGTGTAGGAGGAAAGAGAGAGGGATTGAATATTTTGGTGTTGGGTATGTATGTATCAGCAATTAGGTAGGTACTGAGGGATGATAATAATAATAATGATAACTCGACCACACATCCAATCAGGATATTTGATCATTACCGCGAGTACTGGTAAATGATGTTTTGTTCTTATTTTTTGTTTTTGTTTTTATTTTATTTTTTACTCGTATTTTTTGTTTTGTAATCTTTTATACCTATGTAGTGATATATCTGTTGATCTCTATATTGATTGGGAAGGAGAGTTGATGATTACTTGAGAAGTTATATGGATGATTAATTTTGACTCGGGGTTTTCTTCTAATTATATGCGTAGGTAGAGATGGGATGAGGTTAGCATGGATAGGTAGATCAATAACCTACCTAGATTCTTAGATACCTAAGGCATAAAGTATATTTGAAGCGAAATTCATCCAGTTGTATGGAAGGAGAAGTGTCCGCAGACGGGACGGGAGATATTTTCTTCGAGGATTAAGTGCATCATCTGCTTAGATCTTCAGATTCGAAATGGGAAGGGTGAAGAGATTGATAGATTGTGAGGTTGTATAGGTAGGTAGATAGATAAATCTTATTCGAGGATCTTATTTGAGAATATAAGAAATGAGAAATACATATGGATGGATACCTATATATTAATGCTTGAGTCAAGGCAATAAATATTAACGTGGTTTAACAGTGGCTCGGCCATATCAGTGGGTCGGCCACTTTAAAATACATATAAAATCAGCCTTTTTCAATATTCATATTTTAATTATCAATCATTATTTTTGAAAAAGAAAAGAATATTAAATAATAATAAAAAATCAGTTATTCAAAGTAATAATTTTTTTTTCAAATAATTCTTTTCGATTTCAAAAAAAATCAAAATTGTCATGATTTTCGTTACAAAAAAGCTTTTTTTTATAATAACTATTTTAAAAATTCTAATTTATTGAAACTAATTAGATTTTTATAATCTATATATAATCAAATATTTAATATTAGATTTTTAGAAAATTATATCAATAAATAAAGAAAGTGCACGGTTGTGCACAGACGTATTTTGTATGTAAAAATGGTGGCCGACTTACTGATATGGCCGAGCCACTGTTAAACCACGTTATATATAATATATATGTGTGATTACGAGATTACCAAAATACTTCACTCCCAATGAAAGCATTATGTAATCAATCTTCAAATCACAACTACCCATCTCCCTAGTAAATTTGCCTTTCGGTTCTTGCATCACCACACAAAAGGTTGCTTCATTGACATTGATCGTCCTGATCTAACTATATAGTACTTACTAACACTACTACTGAACAAGCTTTGTTTCCCCTTTACAAACAACATCAATTGATATCAGAAATATATTGATTTTATTGATTTGTATGATATTCACTTACCTCAGATCGAATCCCCACCAGCATCTGGGAAGACTGCCAGTTATCCATCCATATTACAATATCGATCCAAATCCCACGCATTTCAATCATCGGTACTTTCGAAACCGATATCCACTTCCGACGTAAAGCCCCCCGCAGATTTTCGGAACGAAAGACAATCAAATTGTACAAAGTACACAAGCTCTACAAAACATTGCAAGAATCTTCCGACCGAGAGTGTGTCTTTTGAAATCTTCTGCGAAGGACGGGTGAATTCTGCGACTCGATATTATCATCACGCACAGCGACTCGACACTCTGCGACCTAGAAAGAATTATGGCATACGACAAAGCGCATACTTGATTGAGAAAAAACCTGATAGGCCTACGACCAATATAAATATACACAATCGTCGAGTTTCCTCTTGAGATTCTTTGATTGGTGGAGTGTTCGTGAACTCGATCAAGTGTAGAGAAGATTTCACGGCAGGCCGAACGAATATTCGACGTTCACGTAAAGTTTCATTCCTCCTCAACACTCGAGTGTCATTACCGTGCACTCGATTTCGATACAGCCACCAGCAATTCCGACGCAGATGTCGACGTTATCATGAGTAATTTCTTTAATATGCCAATGACCCAAGAGGACCTGCAGCGGCAGGTTGCTCAAAGGAGGGCACATTCTAGGTCTCTGAGTATACCGCAACCTCAACCGCAGCAGCAACAACAGCGACCTTCCGCACAATCTAACGGAAGTTCCATGAGCATGAACCATAACATGAGTGGCGGGAATAGCTTGGATGAAATCATCATGCAGAATAACAACGAATTACAACGGCGGCAGAGTTACTCACAAGACTTTTCGCAAGATCACGATCGCAGATCTTCCATGCTAGAATTTGGCAATAGTGATGTCGGTCTGAACGATTTTCAATTTGCCACCCCAACATCTTCTTCCGAGAATCCAATGCTACGTCGACAATCCTTGGGTGAAATGAACATGAACGACCTTTATGGCGGTGGGATGGAGTCTGGAATGGGTATAATGCCTCAAATGCAGCAACTTGGTTATTCCGACTCTGTGCGACCAAATTTGATGGATACTACTATGGGATATGGATCTTTCTCGGGAGATATGATGCCTGGCATGATGAGTTATGCTTCCATAGGTATGGATGGTATGTCTCAAGATTCGCCGATGGGCATGTACTCGAATGATAATTATTCACCTACGGTATATGGGAATGATCCTATGGATTCGATGGACTCGAATATATTTATGGGAGGTCAAGACCGTGGGAGGATAAGAACGATGGCCGATGAGAATAACGAAGAGATATCATCGAGGTCCGTTATCATGGGCCCCACAGCATCGGAGTCGCTCTTGAGAGCTCGAGAGGGTATGATAATGAGACCCTTGGAAGATGAGAATAATGAAGCAATGTCTTCGAGATTCGATGTCATGGGCCAATCACCAAGCGCTATGAGCATGCCTCAAACCTTAATCAATTACAACTCCCCGTCCACTTCAAATGCACCTCCGAATCTTTTAACACGAATATCTAGCACGGCTATGATCTCCACATCTGCATCAACCCCCACAGCTCTCACCGCTCCCGACACCTCCCCATCGGGACAAGGAATTACGGATATATACTCCAGCACTGGGTTTGATATGCTTGGAGCATTGATACGAGTGGCAAAAAGACCAAATAAAGTTATTAACATAGGCGCCGTCGATTTATCATGTGCATTTGTCGTCTGCGATTTACGAGAGACGGATTGCCCTATAATATATGTATCTGATGTTTTTGAGAACCTCACCGGGTATTCAAGACATGAGGTATTAGGACGAAATTGTCGATTTCTTCAATCACCAGATGGCAAAATCCAAGCTGGTGAACGTAGGACGGCCACGGAAAATGATAAGGTCTATGAACTCAAGAAAGCCGTAGACAATCGAACGGAAACTCAGCAAGCCATTATCAACTATCGAAGAGGGGGTCAGCCATTCATGAATCTTTTGACGATGATTCCTATCCCTGCAAGTGATGACGACCCTACACTTTCTCTGGTCGTCGGTTTTCAGGTTGATGTGGTTGCGAACCCAACTAGTATCGATGGCGTGAGTGGTGGGATTTACACCATGAATTATAAACAAGGTACATTACCACGATATCAATGGCAGCCACCTCAGCAAAATGTTCGTCTAATTGATGCCGGACAAACAATAAGTCGAGATGATGTTAGCGCAGCACTAGCTTCATACGACAATGGTAGCGATCCGGAAGCCACCAAGAGAATGTTTGATAAAGTGCTTTTGGAAAATAGCGATGATGTTATTCATGTTCTTTCTCTGAAAGGTTTATTCATGTATCTTTCGCCGTCATGTTGTCAAGTCTTGGAATATGATGCATCTGAGCTGGTCGGAACTGCTCTATCCTCCATCTGTCATCCTAGTGATATAGTCCCTGTGACTCGAGAGTTGAAGGAAACATCACAAGGGAGTGCTGTCAATGTTGTATTCCGCATTCGTCGAAAAAATAGTGGCTACACATGGTTCGAGAGCCATGGTTCTCTTTGTGCAGAGCAAGGCAAAGGTCGAAAATGCATAGTAATGGTTGGCCGGATAAGACCAGTGTACGCATTGGCTAGAAGCGACTTGATGCGAATGGACGGTCTTAGTGATCAACAAATGTATTCGAAATTGTCAACTTCGGGCATGTTTCTATACGTTGCAACAAATGTTCGGTCCCTCCTAGATCGTACACCAGATGATCTTGTTGGTACAAGCATTCAAGCATTGATGCGTGCTGATTCTAAGGTTGCATTTGGTCGAGCCTTAGAAAAGGCAAGAACGGGAAAGATTGTCAAATACTCACATGAGCTTTTCAACAAGCGTGGTCTTGTCATACAAACCGAGACAGTACTATATCCTGGAGATGCATCGGAGGGCCGTAAACCTACCTTTCTTGTCGCCCAGACTCGATTGGTTAATAAAGCATCTCGAAATGTTGCTTCGGCCACAGGAGCTAATGGTACTACTATTCCTGGCGGTAAAACAATGATCATGAGTCCCATGACTAGAACAGATACACAAAGTTCCGATGGAATATCATCAAACAATCAATTAGCTCGTCCTCAAGCTAGCCCATTCCCTGAACCTATGACACCGGGAGCTTCTGGTACTACAACTATACCTATCACACAACCAGGTGGATCCGGGCTTCCAATTGGTTCTCAAGATGAAGCTTTAGCTTCTAGGGATAACATTTTCGAAGAATTGAAGACGACACGCGCTACAAGTTGGCAATATGAACTTCGACAAATGGAAAAGGAAAATCGATCACTCGCCGAAGAGGTAGCATCATTAGTAAATGCCAGAAAGAAGCGAAAACGAAGAAAATTACCTGGTAACGTGCAACGAGATTGTGCCAATTGCCATACGAAGAATACCCCGGAATGGAGGAGGGGACCGAGTGGGAATCGAGACTTGTGTAATAGTTGTGGATTGAGATGGGCGAAACAGGTGAGTGATGACGGTTCTGACACCGCACCAATAGCTGGTCAAGCTGTTGATCATTCATCATCCTCCACATCTTGAAGTTGAGTTTGTTGAAAGAAAACCCCGCTTCAATTCACGGTTCTTCTATATTCATCTCTGGATCAAAATCGAAAAGTTCTCAGTGGATAACTTCAATATCAAGGGCGGGTCAAGGTGCCATTTCGCTATTATCCGCGAGAAAAATATTCAAGCACATAGCTGCTTTACGCCCTCTTTGCTCTATCATTGTTCTTAGTTTGTTATCTCATCCACCCCATCGCATTACTTATACGGCACACGGCACTAATCTCATATCTTCTAAACGTTCAGCAAGGTCGCATATCCTCGCGTAGTTCTAAACGCAGTAAAGATGGTGATGCGTCAAGCAAACATTCCAATTCGCCGAGCCATTCCAGCCCATTACATAATGAAATTCCGCAAAACTCAGATTCACTAAATCCAAATTTAAATATCAATCCTGGAAAGTTGGCCGATGCTGCGGTTCCGAGACCATCGAAGTTTTTGAAAAAAGATTCGGATAATAGTGTAAGGACTGCAAGTTCTGGAAGTCCGGGAACGGGAGCTGATGAAACGGGCAAAATTGGAAAGGGAAATATTGGACTTGGGGGAATTAGTAATGGTGGTGTCAGGGGAAGTGGAACGGCAGTTCCGGCATCTCTTGGAGGACGAACAACAATGGAGAGTCAACCTGTTCATGCGCGAAGTTTGGGGTTTAATGAGGGTGGTGTTAGTGGAATTACTAATATTGAGGAGGGGAGAGAAAGTGAAAGGAGTGGGGGAACGAGTGGGACGAGTGGAACGAATGGAATGAGTTGGAAGGGGAAGGGTTGTGTCGCGAGGGAGGGGTTTACTGGTGGTAAAAGAGAGACAAACCGAGGAGAGGAGAGAGCGGGAGGAAGAATGACGACGAATATAAACGAATTTTCGATAATGCGACGAATCATAACGAGCATTTCAAGGATGGTTAATTGGCAAAATTCTTCTAGGTTGTTTTGCTAGCTGGATTTGGAGGGACTGATTACATTATTGGATTGGCTTTGCCTTGGAGTTTCAGTGGAAGATTTTGGAAGGGTTTGTTATGGTGTTGGGAGTTGAGCTGAAGCTCTATGGCGTGGGTATCTAAGTCTTTCTGAGTGTTTTTGCTGGTTATATTACTGGGGAGGTGTGGTTGAATCGAATCGAATTGAATTGAATTGAATTGATTGGGTGGGCTGGGGTGGGATTGAATGGCATGGGATGGCATGGTGTGAGGCTTAGAGTTCTTTATACCAGGGGCTTTTACGAGCAGCGTTTGTTTGTTTGTGAGAGATGAGGGAACGGAAATGAAGGAGGAAGGAGGGTGGGCGGTTATCTTTGAAAGTGGAATTTAGACTGGATGGATGGATGGGCTGGTTGTTGGTTGTTGAGGTTGCTGATGATGATTTGCTTACTATATTATATTATATTGTGTTGTGTTGTGTCCTGTCGTATCGTGTCGTATTGTATCGTATCGTGTTGTTATACTCTACTCTCTGATCTTTGAAAATATGAAGGTGGGAGAGTTGGGTTGGGAAAGTTAGGCGGGGAAAGTTAAAAGAATAGATACCTAGGTAAGTACATGCATTTATTTATTTATTTTTGATTTTGATTTTGATTTAATTAATGATTTTGTTTTAATGATTTGATTTTAATGATTTGACTTTAATGATTTGATTTGGATTTTGATTTAATTTAGTATTAATATTTTTAATATTTTGATTTGATTTTGATATTTTAATTTGATTTTGATATTTTAATTTGATTTTGATACTTTTAATTTGATGAGTTGATGATTTGATTTTTATAATTGATATAATGATTTGGTTTTGATAATTGAACTTAATTGATATTTTGATTTTGATTTGATGATTTTGGTTTATAATAATTTTGATTTTGATTCACACGATTAGTCTAGGTACCGACGGCCGGTTCGAATCGAATCGAATCGAATTCACCATTCACATGATGATACCAAGACTTTCTTATCATTTTCTCATCAATAAATATCTGATCACTTTCTATCACTGTCTTATAAATAGATATCTCATCCCAAAAGTCCATATATACATATACATATACATATACATATACATAAAATTTCCAAATCCAATCCAATCCAATTTAATCCAATTTAATCCAATCCAATCCAATCCCATTCCCCCAACCCCAGATTCAAATCCCCATTCCCTATTCTCCATTCCAAGAATTCCAAGAATTCCAAGAGTTCCAGATCCTGATACACAATACATAATACTTATACTCATACTCATACTCATACGCATACTCAAATCCACCCAGCATACAAATTCCACCTACAGAAAACCCATCAATCAACAGAAAAGCATACATATGAATACACAATAGAATAATAAAATACAAGAACTCCACCACAGCCACAACCGCAATCGCAACCGCAAGCATCTCCCTATCATACGTATCCTGATACCCTAGCATAGCATAACCTTTCAACGTGTAACAGTATTCCCTCCCCCGACTCTCCAAAAAGCCCAATCCAATCCAGAAATCCCGTTTCAAAATCAAAGGAAAGGAGAGAAGAAAAGAGGAGAAAAGAGGAGAAGATATCCGAGAATCTGAGAAACCGAGTGACTAAAGAATCAGAGCCATAGCGCCAAATCATCAATTCCCAAAAGCGCGAGAGACAAATAAGTAGAAGAAAGGGTATCATGTATACGTGAAATCCATGCAAACCGAACGAACCGAGCGAAATGAATAAAACCAGACCAAGCAAGGTCGATATGAAATCCAGAAAAAAGATCATGACCGGATGAAACTTCTTCGACACATCATAGCTCAATCTATGAAGAGCTCTTATTTTCTCTTGCTCTCTTGCTGAACTCTGAGCAAGAGGTCGTTGTGCAAATCGAAATATTCGAATTCGAAAAACAACCTAGAAGAAATCGAATATAGCATCACAGCATCCTGATGCCTTCCAGAACGCACACAAAAGGATTCATTACCCAACAACCCCCGCAAGCACCCCCATACACCCCAAATAAACCCCCACGCAAACCCATCCCTCTCTTCTTTGTGAACCTTTCAAGCCCTTGATACTTTCAATAACATCATTTAGACCTATAAATCCACTTTGTACCAGTGCTCCTACAATACCCGATCCTACCAAACAAACCACCGTCATTCTGCCTAGGAATGTTGGGATCGTTGCAAAAGTCAGGATTGGTATTAAAATACTAAGAGCTATTGCACATGCCAGAGTGGGAAAATCTTCTGCATGAGAAATTGTATTTCCCACTCCAAGATGATCATGCGCTAGATGAGGTGGGGGATGAAGAGGTGAATCGACTGCGCTACTAGTGGGTGTTCTCTCAATTGGACGATCATCATCACTACTATCTGATATGGATGATGGTAATGAATGTTTGTGACGAATGAATTGATCTCCATTTCGATGACGACCCTGACTTCTAAAACCAGAAGAACCAGAAGCAACTGAAACCAAATCATCCTCCACTTTTGGATCTAAGAATCTAGTTTCCACTTCGGTTATGGGACGGACGGTTTCAAGGTATTCGCGATAATGGCTAATATCCGGTTGAGCAGCGGGAGGAAGTGATTGAAGAGAGTGGAACGAGGTTAGAGTTTGATCTGGATGAGGTTAGTATGGAGAAATATGTGGGGTATGGGGTAAGGTAGGGATAGTGAGGAGTGCTGACTGTATTGAGCCAATTTGTAACCGATCCTCCCCAGAATATCCATTTTATGCCACTGTAAATCACCACCCATTTGCTCACTTGCTCTTCTCGATGCAGGAATTACATCCACCCCGAAATTTCCATTGCCAGTATGTCGTAACCTTCTAGATTCCGTATCGGCTTTATCCAATCTTTGTAATTGTTCCTCGAGTTCGCTTATTTCATCTTGAAGATGAAGGAGAAGACGATGATTGAGCGCTTCGAATTTTCGATACATGGGCTTGATGCGATCTTCCACTACTGTATCCGAGCCGGAACCAGAATGGGAAGATGCTGATAAGCGAGAAGCAAGAAGTTCATAGCCTGTAATAGTCGGATCAATCTGAGATTGGAGTGTATGCTTGGGTGGATGTGGATTGCGGGGTGTTTCAAGATCAGCGGGAGAGAGTGGGCTACTGTCTGTGCGATGATGGGTTTTTGGTGTTCCAAATGATGGAGCTGCTCCGTAATAATTTTGTCGTTGATTGGCAGCTGCCATTTGAGACGCTAATTTAACTGACGCATCTTTGGGATTCGTGGTGACTCGTAGATTTTCTCGACCGTTAACACTTCTTTCTGGTGATGTACTTCTATCTGTGTCGATATCGGCTTCTGGTGCTGAGAAATCATCACTATGAAGACTACTTGGTACGGATGAGGGTCCACTTGGATGTTCTTCGGGAGTATGTGGACGTGATATTGGGGTGAAGCTTTTATCGTCATGGTCAATCAACCATTTAGAGGTATCGTCTTGTGTCTCCACCTTTTTCCCCTCTGCTTGATCTTCCCTGGCCTCCCCAACTTCTTCATCTTCTTCATCGGAGTCCTGCTGTAAATAGGCAAACACATTTGGTGGAGATGGTACAGCTGGTGATAGAGACTCTTCTTTAGCCTCAGCTTCTTTTCCTAGGGATAAACCTTTCGTAATAGAAGCCTGAGTTACTGTTGAGTTACTTCCACTTGAGCTACTAGATTTATTGGTTGATGTAGTTAAAGATGTTAAATTGGATATCATAGATGGTGATGTTAATTTTGCTCTGGAAGCTGCAAGGACCGATTTGTGATTAGGGATATTCTCATTTTCATCCGAAGAGCTTGACGATGACGACGATGATGAACTTGAATCTCGGTTCCGTTGTACAGGCCTTTGGCGAAGACGTTGCCCCTCCATTTCATTTCCTTTTGAAGATGATCCACTTGCGCGCTTCGCATTTGTATGCTTAGGTTTTGGTTTTGATGCAGAATGTCTGTTGCCACTGGAAGTAGATTTACGCATCTTTCTTGATCTATCTCTTTCCCTACTCGTATTTGCTTTTGTGGGTGAAGAAGACATTGTGGAATCATGAATTGATCGATGTTGACGACGAGTTATGCTACTCTGGAATTCTCGTTCAGTACCCCTTACATCGTCCCTTGATTCGTCTTCGGGATCTTCGATTATTGATTCCACTGTTGGTATTTTGTATCTTGTAGCCATATCTACGGAGCGATCTACCAAAGTCCATTCTTATCAGCTCGGCTTAACACCATTATCCAAAAGCACAAGAAGAAGAAAGAAAAAAAGAAAAAATCAATAGACCTCATTAGGAGGGGAAGGTTCTTTAGATTGACAGGGCTTACCTAGACTTTTTGGGTAGCTATGATGATCGTGTGTCAACATGCGATAACCAATTATCAATGCCCGATGAAGAAAACAATTGAGCGAAGTGAATGAATTGATAATACGGATGAATTAAAATATTTAATAATAGTAAACATGATAATGGAGGAGGAGGAGAGATCAAAGGGAGGAATTCAAGACAAGAGTAGAGAGAGCAAGAAAGAAGAGAGAAGTATCCAAATTCCCAAGGATCAATTTGTTTGATGAGGATGGCAAAGTGATTGACTGTATATCAATTCCCAGCTTCAGCTACAATACAAAAATGGTATAAAACTGGCGCGCGCGTTGATCAAATTGGGATTATACCTATGAGTGATGATGAATGAGGGGATGGGATGAGATGGGGCGAGGGGACATGGATGTGTGTGTGTGTTTGTGTGGGTGTGATGAGCGAGTGTTCAGCCGTCTTGTCTCCTCGTGTTTTGTGAGGGAAGAAGTGTTTCAAATGATTCTTGAAAGATGGAACCACCAACACCGGACACAGATGATGCGAAAAGAATGAACGATAGTAGATCTCAAGTAATCTTACAAGGGACGGAAGGGAGGCGAGGCAGACCGTGAAGGGTAAGAAGAAAAGGGTTCAGAAGGGACCAGGGATAATCCGAAATCCAGCAGGGGAGTTTTTAAGACTTTATGATCATGGGAGAGTTCCCGTGAGTGGATAAGTTGGGTCGATGGTAGAGATTGTTTGAGAATTCGCACAAGATGTTGGGTGATGTGATGTAGGAAGTATGATTGATGTATGATGTTGTTTGTGTAAAGATCTTGGAGGTCTTGGATTGCGATTTGACCATGATGATTCTCTTCACATTTCGGGCGTGTGTTTGGAGCGATGGCATTGATAACTGGATGGTTGATGGTTGGTGGTTGGTCACACTTGGTTTGATGTATTCGAAGGATTTCATGCATTATGAAGATCACAACATTTGGCTTTTGTGGCGGGAACCGGAACATCCATGGTTATAGTTTGTAGCTCCAATGCATTTTCAATATACGAGTATCTTTTGATGGCGTTTGTTTGCTTTCTTCGATATATAACATACCTATCTAGAATAGACAGAATAGACAGAATACACACAGGTATGGGTCCTAGATATGTAAGATTATATATTTGCAAGCTCGTTCCATGGCTATCTGATCTACCTGCGTACTATATAGATATCAATCAAGCGACCAGTACCCCGTCTGACTGACTGTCTTATAATCCGGGGAATAGAAGCCAAGGTACCAGGTAGATTTAAGTAGAAAATAGTAGAAAAAGTAAACCATCCCATCCCATCCCCTCCCATCCCATCGTGACCATTTCACCATCTCTACTCCGTGACAATACAATACTAGTCGGCCTCCACGGCAGTGGCCCCCGGAGGGCCAGCGGAGCGTCACATAACATCTTACTTTTCTTTGCGTTGAATCAGGTATTCTTCCTTGGCCGGTCGTTATGTAGCTATTTTCATACTCCTGTCTCCTCTTATCGATGATGAATGTAAAATCGGCCTGGCCAGTATGTAACATCAAACAAAGCAAATACTAAATTCTATGTAAGATCTCATATACGAGTATGATGGGATTGGTCGGGTCAATAGATTGCTGCGTTGCTGCATTGCGGGACCTCCCATTAGACCAAACTAGAGTAGGTGATAATGCAGCTATAATAGCGTGAACGGAGTGAAGGGTGAAGGGTGAAGGGTGAAGGGTGAAGGGTGAAGGGTGAAGGGTAAAGGGTGAAGGCTGAATGCTGAATGCTGAATGCTGAAGAGAGTGAAGGGAAGGGACCATCAGATTGCAGCAAATATTAATCTTTAACCTCGCAGCAAATAAAAACAAACAAGCACACACACACACACACATACACACACACACATACAATTCAACTCAAATTATTGAATTGGGTAGCTACCGACATCAATATATTATTAGTCAATTGGTGATGAGAATTATCATTAATGTAGGTACCAATTTTCAATTCACAAATCAAAAATGATTGTGATAAACATTCATTCAGCCTCACATTTTCTCACATTTCTATTCTGATTTCCTTCATCTTTTGGATAAGAAAAGATAATATCATCGCCGAGTATGATGAAGATTCGATTACACGAGATAGAAGATTCCATCAAGACGTGCGCCATTCTTACTCGACACCTTGGATTTGTATAACCAATACTTCTTCAACACATGTTATCATATCAATCAATATCTTACGCCTTACGGGATATCATAATACGTTCATCGATAACAATATCAGTCTCATTCGAATTTCATGTTCATTCATTTTCATTTTTCAAGCATCATTCACAAATAAGACAGAGAGGAAGGAGTCATAGCCACCAAGTGATCCTATCCATATCTTTTTTTTCCCCGAGACCCCTCCACCAGCTCGAATCGGGTGCCCAATTATTCAGAAAATCTCATTACATGCATGAGCCCGAGCCCGAACCCGAACTCTGCCTGACCATCTGATCAACGACGGTGAATTTCCTAGAATTCTCGATCAAACCATTATTTGCCCAAGCAAAGACCAATTGGAAAGATACCACCTCGTTGAGAGGATCCGTAAGTCCGATGACTCGATTTTCTCCGCTGGTTCTTCGCAGATATCTCCTTGGGGGCCAAATCAATTCGACGGGCTGTCTTCGTCATCGAGCTATTGGTAGTAACCATTTACCTCCCATTTACGCCTCAAGATCTCGGGCAATACAAGAATTGCATACCAAGATAGAATCGGCGTCATCCTCCCCCACGAATCACAGCATTCAAAACTCATTCAAAGCAGCGCGGAAACAGCCAAAGGATGAAGGAATTGGAAGAAATCCAAATTCAGAAAAGGTACAAAGTCTTGATGAGTGGGAGTTAACCGTAGGAATCGAAATACACGCACAATTAAATACGGAACGAAAACTTTTCTCATACGCTGCCTCATCTTTTAACGATACGCCCAATACACATGTCGCATATTTCGATGTAGCCTTACCAGGCTCTATGCCCATATTTCAAAAGGAAACTCTGATACCTGCTATTCGAGGAGCATTAGCATTAAATTGTAATATTCAAAGAACAAGTCGATTTGATCGCAAACATTATTTTCATTGGGATCAACCTGCGGGGTATCAAATTACACAATATTACGAACCTTTTGCGAAAGATGGATATATTACATTATATGCGCACGATGGAATTGCAAAGGAGGACGGAGAAGAAATCCGGATAGGAATTAAGCAAGTACAAATGGAACAAGATACGGCCAAAACAATCTCACAACCTGGGGATATACATTTGTTGGATTTCAATCGTGTGGGTTTACCATTGATTGAAATTATTTCTCTGCCACAGATACATCATCCAAGTACCGCGGCTGCATTTGTCCGAAAGGTACAAATGTTGCTAAACTCGGTTGATGCTTGTGTTTTGGGTATGCAATCTGGTGGATTGAGAGCAGATGTAAATGTTTCTGTAAAGAGAAGAACAGAGGAAGGTTCCGGGTTTGAATATGCAGGTGTTCAAGGACTTGGACAAAGAACCGAGATCAAAAATTTGAGTAGTTTCAAATCTATTGAAGATGCTATCATTGCCGAACGTGATAGACAAATCTCGGTTCTGGAAGAAGGTGGGGTTATTGAAGGAGAAACTCGTGGATACGCAATTGGAAGTACAGAGACACGAAGACTTCGAGGGAAAGAAGGAGAGGTGGATTATAGATACATGCCAGATCCAGATCTAGCCCCTGTGATTATCGATGAAGCACTTACACAACATCTTGGTGCTACACTCGGCGTCTTACCCGATGAAGAATTGGCAATACTCGAATCTGAATACGGTATCACGGTAAAAGATGCTATTGATTTAGTGTCTTTGAATGAAGGAGGACGAGTGGAATATTTTCGTAATGTAGTAGATGTTTTGACATTGTTGAATCCTCACGAACCGCAAACGAAATTGGGAAAATGGGCAAGCAATTGGGTTTTACATGAATTGGGTGCGTTGATCTCGGATTATGGAGAGGAGGAAAATCCACTCAGGTTTACGAGTTATGGAGAGTGTATGATTTCACATTCTCAAATGGCTCATCTGATACATTATGTTAACGAGGAGCGAATTACGGGAAAGACGGCAAAGAAAGTTTTGAAGGGGTTGTTTGAGAATGGACAGGTGGGGATAGAGAAATCGGTAGAGGAGATTATTGAAGATGGACAATTGTGGTTGCGGAAGATGGAGAGAAGTGAGTATGAAGGGTTGGCGAGGAGGATCTGTGAAGAGGAGAGGAAAACGGTAGAGGAGATTTTGCAGGGGAAGGAGGGGAAGATTAATTTTCTGTTGGGGAAGATGATGAGGGGGGAGAGGGAGGGTAGGGTTCAACCTCTTGTTGCGAGGGAAGTTTTGAGGGGGGTGGTGGAGGGGTTTAGAAATGTTTATTGAAGATCTTATTACACTAACAAAGCATTCACTTTATCAACCACGGATTCTGTCACCACAGGAATATTAATCAGTGTGAAATAGAATTAGAGGAATAAATACTAAGTAAATTATAATTGAATTGGATCGAAATCGAGCGACTAAACTCCAGAGCTTGCTTGCCGCGCGCTTGGGTGGGGTGGGGTGGAATTCGGTTGGTTTGAGGGGTTGGTTGGTTAGTTGTATGTTGAGCGTGATTTGACTTGACTTGACTTGACTTGACTTGATTTGATTTGACTTAACTTAACTTGATTTGACTTGATTTGACTTAACTTAACTTAACTTAACTTGACTTGACTTGATTTGATTGATTTGATTTAATTTAATCTGATATAGCTAGGATTGGTATTGATATTAGTATTGGTATTAGTATTATAGGATTTGGAGTAGATGAGATGGGGAATGAGAGATGAGATGGGGAATAGGAGATGAGATGAGATGAGGAATGAGAGAAATAATGAGAAAGAACCAGAGATGATTCTTTGATTGAGTGTTTGAGTGTTTGAGTGTTTGAGTGTTTGAGTGTTTGAGTGTTTGAGTGTTTGAGTGTTTGAGTGTTTGAGTGTTTGAGTGTTTGAGTGTTTGAGTGTTTGAGTGTTTGAATATTTGAAATACGATACGATAACCTTAAGCGTGTTTAATTTTTTTAGATTAGGGGGTAGAGGGTTTCTCGGTATTAGATTAGATTTACTTTATTGGTTAGTTGATTGGTTGGTTGATTGGTTAGTTGGTTGGTTGGTTGGTTGGTTAGTTGATTAGTTGATTAGTTGGTTGATTGATGTATTGGTTAGTTGATTAGTTGATTGGTTGGTTGATTGGTTAGTTGGTTAGTTAGTTGGTTGGTTAGTTGGTTAGTTGGTTAGTTAGTTGGTTAGTTGGTTGGTTGGTTAGTTGATTAGTTGATTAGTTGGTTGATTGATGTATTGGTTAGTTGATTAGTTGATTAGTTGATTAGTTGGTTGATTGATGTATTGATTAGTTGATTGATTAGTTGATTGATTAGTTGATGATTAGTTGATTGATTAGTTATGATTAGTTGATGATTAGTTGATTGATTAGTTGATTGATTAGTTGATTGATTAGTTGATTGATTAGTGATTGATTAGTTGATTGATTAGTTGATGATTAGTTGTTGATAGTGATGATGTATGATAGTAGGGCTCGTTCGGATCGAAATTTTTTTCGACATTAGACCTAATATATTAGTAATATTAATCTAATATGATGTTTACCGAACGCAGTATTGAGTTCCAATATATATTAGATCTAATATATAGCTGAAATATTTTGAAGCGAACGCAATATTTGAGCTAATAAAATATTGAGTCTAATAATGTTTAAAGTGATAAATACGACAAATTTTCTCAACCTTTCTCAATAGTGATCGACAGCAGCTTTTGAGGTGTAAATTAGATAAATATATTTGAGAAAAGTTATTATCTTCTTTATTTTCAATTTAATTTCTTTATTTTCAACTCAATCTCTTATGTTCCAATATTATCCCAAATATATTAGCTTCATCCAAATATATATTAGCTGTTAATATTTTAAATCCCTTGTCATTTAATTATTATTAGAGATTTCATAATAAAATAAAAAATCGATTTGAACAAGCTCTTAGTATATTGATTAATTGATGTATTAATTAGTTGGTGTATTGATTAATTATGTTTTATTTCGTTTTAGGAATGAGAATGCATCTATTTATAGATAGATAGGTAGATTTTGTATTTGTGGATATTGAGATTGAGATGGAGATTGAGATGGAGATTGAGATGGAGATTGAGATGGAGATTGAGATTAATGAAATATAAATGGAAATGGAAATGGAAATGGAAAGTTGAGGATTGGTGGGAAGTTGAAATAAGGAAGGGGTTAGGTTGAGGTGAGTGTTGAATTTTTAGGTATAGTGCATCGGTGTGTAATTTGAGGGGTGGAGTTTGTTTTTGGCTAATGTAAAATGGATTGGTTTGAATTGGATTGATTCGAGTTGGTTTTATTTTGTATTATTAGATTTTTTTGTTTGTATAATGAGATTTGAGAGATTTGAGAGACTTATAAATTAGATAAATAATTTATTTAAATTATTGATTATTAATAGATCGGGAAATCGAATAGATATTGTATTATTATATAATAAGATAATATTTAAATATTTCGAAGCATAGCGAAAGAAACTTATACATCGAATTTCACGGAATTTTTATATAGTTTATATTAACTATATTTTCTATACTTAAGAATTCAATTTATATACTACTATATAATTTGTATATAAATAATTATATTATAAATTCAATTGTATAAAGAATTGAAAGAAAAAATCTTTTAAAATTAAAGAATAAGCTTTATTTTTAGCCTTTAAATTATTTTTCTTTATCAAAACTATATTCTATATTTATTCTTGATAGATTGGGAATATTAAGCGTTCCGAAATATTAGCGAGCTGCCTCGCCCCGAATTTAGGATGGGGTAAAGAGGAGTTAATATATTGGAATATAATGAGATGGGATTTGATGGGATGAGAAGGTGTGTTGTTTAGTTTGGTAGAGGTAGTAAGTAAAGTGAATATTATGATTAAGATTAATTCAGTATACTTTTTCTTTTTCTTCTCTTTGGAGGTGGTTTATTTGCTCTTGATTTGTATGGTTGTATGGTTATGTGCTTGAGAAATCTATATCATATCTATTCACCTGGATATATAAAACGATTCAGTAGATAGAATATAAATATGAATATCTATTTCTTCTGAATCCAAGTTTATTCGTCTGAATTCCTCATCTTTATTTAAGGATCCATCTAAACTCGAATTTTCTCTTCTGAATACAAATTCCTTCACCTCTATTCCATGATCCGAATATTCAGGCGGTATTACATCCAGATCCATCCATTCAAATATCATTACCTATATCAACTCCCTCCCTCTTCCCCTCTCCACTCAAGCGTACGACAGGAGAAGAAAGGATCCCGTCCCATTGATCTGATCAAACTAGGTGAAGAATCGGGTTGAGGGGTTGAATATCAGGCTAGAATGTTTTGAGGGATGGAGGATTTTTGAGCCACGGTTTGTTGGGTGAGTTTAGGTTATTGAGGGTCGAGAAAAAGGAGTGAAAGGAGAAATAACCTAGATGGATACCGGCATTGGGGCGGTGTTGTTACCGTAGTATGATATGATTTGGTATGACCTCATCGCTTACGGTTTGTGGTAGGGCTGGGTGGATCTAAGTACCTAGTTACGCAAGTATAGGTAAAAGGTCTTTAGACCGCTGATAAGATGAGATGAGATGAAACAAAGATCTCTTCTATTCGTTTGTGTATTTTTTATTTTGTTTGTTATCGACTTATACGGATTTCCTTCTTGGCGAGTTGCGGTTGGATGAAAGATGGTTTCTACTTCATATTCAGATTCGGATTTCTAGTCATGAATACCCGCTTTTATGGGTAGGATATTACTAGATAGGTATGTTAATGAGTGTATTTTTATTCGTGGTTTAAGTTGAGTTTGTATGGGTATTTTATTTGACTCTAGGGATATGAAGAATTTGAGAGGGAGGGAGGCGGAATGGGGCTGTAGATTGATGGATATGTAGAGAGAGACCTGGAGACTTGGGTGCGAGACCTTGGACCTTGTTCCTTTGACCAGATGTTCATTTGTTTTTTATTTGCTTCGCTACTATCACACTCTTTTGTATCTCGTGGAGGTTGTACGCTTTGCTATAAAACTACGTTTATATCTATTCTAATATCTAAACCCATCATTCATCATTCACCACATCATTTCATTTCATTTCACTCACTCATATATACACCTCCCTCATCCTCATTCTCCCCAAATCAAAATCAAGATAAACCCCAACCCTTCCTCATACTCAATATTCTCAACTCCCTACCTCCCACCAAAAATCCACATCTCATAAATTAATGCTCGAATCCCTCACTTCCTCTCTCAATCCCTTTTTACCAGAACTTTTCTCAATCTTCCATCTCGATCTTCTGTTCCTTTTTCTCTATTTGTGTTTTTTCAAACGCTAAGCTAAGCTAAGTCTTTGGTCTTTCAATCAATCCACTTCTCAAAACGTCGGATTAAAAGACTAAGGAGATATATATTTTCGGAGTTTGTTCTTCATTCCGTCTCTATCTGAAGTATTTAGGAAGATGTTTCTCCGCTACTGCGTATATGTCGCTTTGACGCTTTATTTGCGGTTTCTTTAGTTGGATGGAGTTTTTTTTCTTTTTCCCTTTTAAGTTGATGTTTCATATTGATCGTTTACTATCAATCACAAATATCATGTCCTTTTGATTTTTAATACTAGTCTTTGGGATTTCTCTGAAGATTTTTGCAGCTCTTTAGCTGTTACTCTCGGTTATTTCATATTTCATGTTTTACATTACTCATTTGTACTCGGCTATAGGCAAGCGATTGGATTGGGACATGTTGTTATTTCGAGATATTTGGGGATTGTAGGTGCGTATTTGAATTTTTTCCCCCTTGATGGTATGGTAATACTTCTTTTTGTTTTGTATCGCTCAATTTTTCCCTTGTTATTTCGTTCTCATATCATCTCTTCCCTTTTTCTCTCTCCCCTTCTTCTCTTTTCCTTTCCCCTCCCTCCACTATATCATCTCATCTCAGTCACTTTAACGTTTCTCAACTCCACCTCATTATACTTATCTCAATTAGCTCTTTTCGTCTTCTAGCATTCTTTCCTCGCTCTATTCCTGCATTCTTATACCCATCCACAATCGTATTTCCTCTATTATGTTTTTCCCACCTCTTATTCTCTCCCACCGTTAATTTCCCCTTCCAATCCCCTAAATCATCTCAAATACAATCCACAAAACATCCTTTGCTAACTTATATTTACTGCTTAGATTCCGATACGATATCCTTCAAACATTCCTATTCCTATTCCTATCATCTCATCTCATCTGAATAACACCATTTGGCTTCCTAGCTGGCTATCTAGCATTCTAGTCTTCGCATTGAAATCATCATCATATACCAACAATGATTTAATACCGATTAAATTGATAACTCGAGGTGTTATGTA